CGAGAAGTTGTTTTTGCTTCTTTAGTAGGCAATGACACCCATCCCTTGAAGCCTGATCGAGATAGATCATGTGAACTTCGTAGTTTTAGCACTGGGTCCCACTGGGCGTGCCAAAATGTTGACCCTTAAAACTACCAAACCTACATGGCGCGCAGGCCGAGTAATCTATAAGCTAACTACGTCATTCGCTTGAACGCGAGGTGTGCCAACTCGTCGGTCGAGCTCGGCCGAGGAGTAAAATTTGTTGATGTTGCGTTGGGTGCACGTCTGACTTCTGCATCTTGTGATTGCGACCGAGGAAGGAACACGTCACGGCCTCTTGGGTTCTCGAACCTGAAGACAAGGCTACTATTCTTACAAAGTTCACGAATCGTCGTCGTTGGATTCGATCATAGTGATGGTATTCGTCAGAGTAAACTCACGCCGAATCGACACCAAAGTGTAAAGGCACAAATACTCAAAGCGGATATAGGTCATAATAGCAAACGTGGTTCGGCCGTCTTAATGCCGAACTCTAAATCCCACTTGAAAGTATCTAATCATAAAATAACTCGGCGTGCAATGTGCCGAGCTCAGTAAGCTGTAACACCTCACTTCGCCGAGAAGGCTAATGAGATGACCTCGATCAATAAGGATTCGGAAATCCTTCTCGACCGAGACTTGGATAAGTAACCAACCGCCCTCGCCGCAGTGCTGTTAATGCCAACGAAGATGCTGCGAGACCGGCTGATTCTACGGCGACAGAGCTATCTATGCCGACTGAAGATATCATCGGTTGCTTTCACAGTGCTGTTGATGCCAATGGAAAATGTGTTAGCGAAAAGAGAAAATAAAAATCTCAAAGTTGTTGAGAGAGTTTGCGCAGGACAATTGTGTGTTGAATTGGAATGGGCTCTTTACGTTGCACATCGCCTTGTATTTATAGAGCCCTGCATACACAAGTCACGAAAACCAATTTCAATTGCACTGTGACTCTGAGTCCTTATTTGTTGCTAACCTTACGTCTTATCAAAACTTGATATCATCTTGCAACCTGATGCCAAAGATATTCCACCATCAGAACCTTTATCCACGCATGCATAGTAACTTTCCGCCAAAGACCACTTATCAAATAATAATTAAATGATGAAATATAATCACCATTTACCAAGACAAGGCCACGTGTAGATGTTACAGCCCGTCCCGGAATTATAAATTCCGAGGACGTGAAAGTACTAAAATATCCCTAAACGGGATTAAGGTGTGTAAATGTATGACATTTGTTTTACTCTAAGATCCTAAACTGGGGTTAGATTTATATTTGTATGTGTTAAATTGTGTTTGGACTTAGGTAGGGCCTCCTACCCTCAAAACATTCCCTAAAACCCGTAACCTTTCCTTCTCTCTTATTCTTCTCAGAAAACTTTCTCTCACTCTCTCTCTTACTCTCGAACTCACGGCAACCACCAAGAACCACCACAATCTTGTACCAACGTTCCATTTAAGACCACCATCGTGATCCTGAGGACTTCACGAGCTCGGGGATACCAAACTCAGGTGAGTTTCACTTCGGAAAACCCTAGTTTCAGTGTCACCGTAATATTGCACTGTTCACGAACTTCAAATTGGCTTTGTTTTAGGCCAAACTAAGATCATAGTGAGCTTAAGGAAGTTCCAAGGATGCTCGGAGTGTAACGTTTGGAAGTTTTGGACGTCGGGATCGTTGAGTTCGAGTTTGGCCGGATTTTGGAATTATTGGAAAGGTATGATCTCGTTGTTTTTAGGCCTTAAAACTAGTCCAACGCGATAGTAGATGTTTAGGACTTTAATTTGGTATAAATTACGTGAAAAATGGATGAAAAACGAAGGAGAATAGCAAGTTTGAAAAATTTCCAGAAACCGGCGAACAGTCGCCGGCGACCGGCGACTCGCCGGAGAAGACAGGGAATATTCCGTCAGTTTTGACGGAATATGCTAACGGCGTGACTGACGCCGTTAATTATTTAACGGAATATGCTAGGATTTAACGGAATATTCCCTAACTGCCGTTACTATGCCGTCAGTGTGCATGGCACGTGGCCGCGCGTGGGGGGCGCGTAGGTCCGTGCCGTTAGGCGCGTGGGGCAGTGAGACCTCCAAAAATTATTTTAAAAAATATGGGGATGATCCTGAGGTTGTGTAGGTCACGGTGGTCTATTCATATACCCAATTTGAGCATTATATGAGGAGTTATTAGCTAAGAGTGGGATTATGCGTTAAATAACGTCAATTTGGTTACTTCTCGTATAGGCGAGGATATTACGGACGTTGGGCATGGCTAAGGGAGGCTCAGGGACCTTCGACACGTCGATGTATTCTGTGAGTGGGCAGTTTTGTTTTCCGTATATATATATAATTGACGTTTCCCAGAAATAGAATTGATATGAAAAGTATATAAAATGTGAGTTGATATAGCAAATGATGATTTGAACTGCCATGCATGAATTAATATATGATGCATATGTATGAATTGGTGCGGTGGACGCACAGGTTAAGAATTGATTTATGATGCATATATGAAATTGGTGCGGTGGACGCACAGGTAAGAATTGATTTTATGATGCATATGTATGAAATGGTGCGGTGGACGCACAGGTGAGTATTTATTTCTGTTATATGATGATTTTGATGTATATTGAGCTCAAATCCTGCACCATAGTTTTAGTGCTTATAGTATTCACCGCATCGCACGCTCGTCTTGAATCCAAGTAGATGCTAGTCGTACAGTCCACGCGGAGTGGGTACGACAGGCCAGTCGCGAGAGGTGTTAGTGAGATTCCGACTGGTGGGTGACCTTAGATTATGTGCACAGATGATTGATGAGAAAGCACTAGAGCGTCAACTTGTGTGCAGAAGCCGGACAGGTCACGCGGAGTGACTCCGGCAGAGTGTGAGAGTGATAGATTTTGAGCTCTAGGTTCAACCGGGCTAATAGAGGGCCTCCGGTTGATTACTTTATTGCACCTGATATGATTTATGTTTGATGCATTCATACCTTATTACTGTTGAGATGATGTGGCATGGCATAATTAATATGAGAAATGTTGAGATGATGTGGCATGGCATAATTATGATGAAAATGTTGAGTTAATGAATTGAAGTATTGAGAATATATATATGTATATTTATATTTTATATTTCTGGGAAAGTATACAGGTTTTACGGAGAGGGGTTACAACGTTTTGAGAAATGTTTGGATTTGGAAAAGAATTGTTTTACTGACCCACTCAATTTTGGTTTTGCGCCCCTCCAGGTTCAGGAATCACAAAGGTGTGGTGACTACGAGGAATTTGACGGTGTTCTGACAGATTGGACAAAATTAGGACTCACCTTCGGGTGTATCAACTTATAAATTGTATCTTAAAGCTTCCGTACTGTGTAAATGGTTACGTCACTCTCACGTGACGGCCAGCATGCCCTCCTTCGGGACGGGGTGTGTCAGTAGAATCATCTTTCAAGCACATCACCATTTTCACTTCACCTTTATCCCATTATTCCACGTGGTCCATTGTCCAAGACTTGCAGATCCATGTGACAACATCCATCAAGCAACCTAACCTACTTAGGTTTTCTATTCACCATTATCCAAAACTAAATGTTAGCGGTTGAAAGTCCATCACCACTTTCAACTAGGTGGGCAATTTGCGATGGTCTCTTCAGACTCTAGACCATGAATAATCAGGTTGTGTGCAGGCCCTTGAAAATCCCACCTAAAGCCGTCACTTCAAAGACTCTCAAAAGAGACCATGTCCATTTCCAACTATACTTCCATTCTCATCCATGCAGAACATGAGAATTTAATATATTATTAAGGGCTATTATCATGACCAAAAAAATCACAATATTATTCCTTAAAAATTATCCCGACTAAGTCATCTAATGGTTGGGAGCTATGCTCACTCAACGGCTTTGATTGCACGGGCCGATAGTGTAAATTTGGGTCCAAACACTCACATTACAGCTATTAAAAGTGTTTTTAGATGATCAAAAACGCTTATAAGTGCGTTGAAAATTAAAACACAGTAAGAAGATGCATTTACCAAATGAATTTAGGGATACAACTACTTAACCATACCAAAAAGTATTTAAAACAAACAAAGAGTTGAGTTTTGTCTGCTTTATTTTTCCTTTATTCGGTGGATTGAGCATGGGATTTGAAACAGATAATTGAGGGAAGGGCCATCAAGTTGGACCTAAATATTATTAGTTCATTTTTAGACTTGTTGGGTGGCCGTCCATCGAGCCATGTTGCCGATAGTATTGATCCTAGGCTAAACTAGCAGTAGACTCGGATCACAGACATATTAGCTCAAGATTTTAGACAGCTTATAAAGTTTTAAACTTTTAAGTCATTTTTAGGAAAGATTCTTACGTTATGTCTCATCCTTATATCTCACACATAACATGTTTGACAAGAAAGTGAATGGAGTTATATTCTCATCTCTCATCTCACTCTCATGTCTTACATGACCGAAATTATATTTTTTATTTGTCAGTCTCACTTATCTCTTGACTTATATTATCAGTATTATCTTTCTCTCTATTTCATTCATAACGTGACTCCTCCTACTATAAAATAATAGTTTTGCTATGTGTGGCTAGCTGCTTGTATGTTGGAAGTATATATTGTAACAAAAAATTTAAAAAAACTAGACATAAAACAGAATTATATACCCAACCAACCAAAAAACCCGAATGAAAGATGAGACCTAGTCATTGTCGGGTCTATCATTTTGTAACGATCACATGCAAATTTAGGCAAAGATTTCCAATAACTCAGCATTTCCACCAAACAGAAATCCTAAATTTAGACATCACTCCAAAAGGCATAAGCAAATTCTAGAGACAACCAAACATGATGAGAAAATTTTGCATAGCCCTCTCAAAGAAACCTAAACAAAGTGGCCTTCATCTACATATAACACTCCCTTCTCCCCCTCTCCCTTCATCTCCCATAAGCAGCCTTGGGTCAAAACAAGGAGGTAGTGGAAAAATCATGCAGGCCTATGGCTGCTTTCTAGTTAGCTTTTTTATTCTCGCTTTATTTTCCTTCTCCTCTTCTGCCCTAACCGATGCCGAAGCGTCCTTTCTTGCACATCGCCAACTCGTAAGCCTCCCAGAAGGTGGTGACATTCCTGACAACTATGAATTTGAGGTTGAGCTTGATCTGAAGTTTCCCAACACCAGGCTTCGACGCGCATACATTGGGCTTCAGGCTCTGAAAAAGGCCGTGTACTCGGACCCTCTCAAAACAACCGAGAACTGGGTTGGCGAGAATGTATGTGCTTACAACGGGGTCTTCTGCGCGCCGGCTCTTGATGATCCGGAACTTGAGGTGGTGGCAGGCATTGATATCAACCATGCAGACATCGCTGGACACCTTCCTGCGGAATTAGGGTTGTTGACGGACATGGCATTGTTCCATATCAACTCTAATAGGTTTTGTGGAATCATCCCCAAGAGCTTTAGAAGGCTAACTCTTCTCCACGAGTTCGATGTTAGCAATAACCGCTTTGTGGGATCGTTTCCCGACGTTGTCCTAGAAATTCCTAACCTCAAGTACCTCGACCTTAGGTTCAACGATTTCGAGGGGAAGCTACCTCCTGAGCTTTTCAACAAGGAACTTGATGCTTTGTTCTTGAATGATAACAGGTTCACATCCACCATTCCTGAAAATCTCGGCAACTCCCCCGTATCAGTTCTTGTCGTCGCCAACAACCAACTCGAGGGCTGCATCCCTAACAGCATTGGAAAAATGGTTAAAACTTTAAATGAGGTTGTATTCTCCAACAACAAGTTTACTGGATGTCTGCCTCCTGAAATCGGACAACTCGCAAACATGGTGTTCGATATTAGTTCAAACACATTCAGTGGGATTATGTCGAAAACTTTCAAGGGCTTGGAAAAGGTGGAGGAGCTGGATATCGCACATAACATGCTAACTGGGTTTGTTCCTAATAGTATATGTACGTTGCCAAACTTGGGAAACTTCACGTTCTCGTACAACTACTTCAATGGAGAGACCCAAAAATGCGTGCCAGGATCTCGGAAGGATGTTGTGTTTGATGATGTGAGCAATTGTTTACCAGACAGGCCTGAACAAAAGTCGGCAAAAGAATGTCATGTTGTGGTGAGCAAGCCAGTGGATTGCAGTAAGGCAAAGTGTGGCGGTGGACATGGGCTGTTGAAACCTTCTCAGCCTCTGGTTGAAAAGCCAAAGACACCAGAGCCAGAACAACCCAAACAACCACCACCACAACCTAAGCCACAACCACCAAAACCATCACCTGAACTAGTTCAAACACCTCATACACCAAAACCACCCAAGGAGGAGCAACCCATGGAACAACCTCCCAAGGAAGAGCAACCCAAGGAACAACCTGCCAAAGAGGAGCCACCCCAGGTACAACCTCCTAGAGATGAGCCACCGAAGGTGAAACCTCCTAAAGAGGAGCTACCAAAGGTGCAACCTCCTAAAGAGGAGTTACCCAAAGAACAACCTCCAAAAGAGGAACTACCACAACCGCCTCAAGTAGAAGCATATGCTCCAGAGCCGATTTTAGAAACCTCATCACCTACACCATCACCATCACCTAAAGACATAGGTCCCAAGGTTCCAATTTTCCTTCCACCAATTGTTGACGCTCCTCTACCAGAACCCTTTGGGCAAAGATCTGTCGTTCCAATCCGCCCTCACCCACCATCAGTTCACTCCCATCCACCAGCTGTAGTAGTGCAACCACCACCAATCCACTTGCAACCACCTCCGGTTCACTCTCCTCCACCACCAGTCCAATCACCCCCACCACCAATCCATTCTCATCCACCACCAGTGTACTCACCCCCACCACCTGTCCATTCTCCTCCACCCCCAGTGCACTCACCCCCACCACCCGTCCATTCACTTGCACCACCAGTAACACTCACCCCCACCACCTGTCCATTCTCCTCCACCTTCAGAGTACTCACCCCCACCACCTGTCCATTCTCCTCCACCCCCAGTGCACTCACCCCCACCACCCGTCCATTCACCTGCACCACCAGTACACTCACCCCCAGCACCTGTCTACTTTCCTCCACCACCAGTCCACTCTCCTCCTCCACCGGTACACTCACCCCCACCACCAGTCCATTCGCCTCCACCACCAGTGCACTCACCCCCACCACCTGTCCACTCTCCTCCACCACCCGTTCACTCTCCTCCACCACCAGTCCATTCTCCTCCTCCACCTGTGCACTCACCCCCACCACCGGTCTACTCACCCCCACCACCTGTACACTCACCCCCACCACCAGTGCACTCGCCACCGCCACCAGCACCAGTCCACTCACCGCCACCTCCAATCCAATCATCACCACCACCGGTACCGATCCACTCATCGCCACCTCCAGTCCAATCACCTCCAATCCAATCACCACCACCACCTTCTCCATCTCTATCACCTCCTTCTCCCGTTTCCTCACCACCCTCTCCGGTATATGACTTCGCATTGCCACCTACCATCGGGTTCCAATACTCATCTCCACCTCCACCAATGTTCCCAGGCTACTAAGCGCACTGCGATATCAAGCTCCCACCCGGCCCTGCATGAAAATTTGTTTATAAATATTTACAATCTCACAGAAATACACCCACTTTTGTTAGGACCATAGCTTGTAATTCATGACATGAAAGTGTAAATCTTTTCATATGCTACGGAATGCAATAAAAAGGACGTTATCGGCAAATCACACATGCACTTTTTTCTCGTTTAATTTTAAGATTTTATTGGATTTGTGTGAGTATTGACTACAATACACAATGAAACATCACTACATATCATCCATATATATATATATATATAATATTTGAGAGCAAAAGAAAAATTTGCGTAAGACTCAGTTTGTCTTGGATCTTGCTGAATGAAACTACACCCCACTCAAAGCTTGCCATGTAAAAGTTTTCATACAATTTTTTATCGTTTCTTTATATTTAAAATTTTCATAATTCTTTTTCCTACTAATTAATAAACACATGAGATTCATCTGGTTCTTCTGTTTTTTTCCGTCTTCTCCTCTCTTTTTCTTAATTTTCTATATTGTATGTAGTCTTCCTCCCTACTCTGTCTTTCCTTTCTTCATAAGAATATGGTAGAAAAAAAAAAAAATTATGCCAACTCCTCCAGTTAGCAACGGGGATAATAAGAGACAAGATACGATGGTTAATTGTTTTAATAACATATTTTTGTGATATGATGGTTCCCCATCCGGCCTTTTTTTTTTCTCTCCCTACTACTATAACAAATGCTGCCGCATATAAGTCTAATATCCCTCTTCTTCTCTATCGGTTTCCTTAAATAAATAAATAAAATAAAAATTGATGTTCGGGCACCTTCATGCATGCGAGCTACTACCACCATTATGTTATACACGTTATACGCAGAAGCTACGATCAGAAATAAGAATAAACTGTAGAATATGGCCGTATTGTCTCTGGTGAATTTGTGCTTTCATTTTGGCATGAGCACCTGCCTTCAACAACGGACCACCCCGCCACACTGTTCTTCATTTACCACGAGAATCAAGATCAACTGCATAGATATCCTAGACAGACAATGAGGTATAGGCGGTCCGTTTTGCATTGGGTGAATACAGTAAGCTTTGCGTGCTCTGTACAGAAGTAGTATCAAAGTCCTCGGTGAAGGCCCTAAACCTCAACTCGTCACCATAAATACTCGGGTTTATCTTCACCTCGTGAACAAGAGTTTGGCCTTCAAGCATGCTCACTACTGCAGACATTGTAGGTCTTAGTGCCGGTGATGAATTGGCACATAGTAGAGCTACCTTTATCATTCTCAATGCCTCTTCCTTATTGAACTCAGACCCCAACTTTCGATCCACCAGCTCCATCAGATTTCCTTTTTGTTGCAAAACAAGGGCCTGCGGCATTGAGAAGAAATGCAGAAGGAATGATGAGAAGTTGATAACATTTGAAGAAGAAAATGAAAAGCCATGTTCTAATTCTTCAGTTCTATTTTACAAATACGGCGGAGCCAAACAATTTGCATGTGTGTGAGTACTGACTACAATACATGATGAATCGTCACTACATATCATCCATATATATATATATATATATATATATATATATATATAATATTTGAGAGCAAAAGAAAAATTTGTGTAAGACTCAGTTTGTCATGGATCTTGCTGAGTGAAACTACACCCCACTCAAAGCTTGCCACGTAAAAGTTTTAATACAATTTTTTATCATTTCTTTATATTTAAAGTTTTCATAATTCTTTTTCCTGTACCAAAAACGACTGCGACGAAGGTCTTACCCAATCAAGAAGGCATACAAAATTCTCATTTGGACGATATTTGACGTTGTTTTTTCCAGATATGAGTTCCAATGCAACGACCCCAAAACTGTAAACATCTGCTTTGTCACTCAAATAACCCCATAATGCATATTCTGGTGCCATGTATCCTCTGCACATTAACAACTTCTATTAGTGTCCATAAAGATGTCATCTAAAGAACTTTACGTACATTGATTATATTGATTTCAATGATGTTTTGAAATACAATTTTGCAATGGGGTGTGATATCCACACACCCCATTTTACTTCTCACACACCTTTTTAATTTTCGACCGTCGGATCGGATGAATTGAAGATCATCGGACAGAAATTATCAAGGTGTGTGAGAAGTAAAATGGGGTGTGTGGATAGCACACCCCTTTTGCAATTAATATATCTACTTCAGTAAAGTTTTTTTCATCGTTAAAAAGAAGATTTGAGTTAAAAAGTCTTCATGGTATTTAAATTAAGAAAATAAAACGAGCAAAATAGAAACCACAACAAATGAAAGAACAAAATGAAGGATTGCTCACATAGTTCCAGCGACTCTGGTGCTAATATGGGTCTTCTCCTCTTCGTCCAGCTTAGCCAAACCAAAGTCGGATATCTTAGGGTTAAGGTCTCGGTCAAGCAGTATATTGGTTGTTTTGATGTCTCTATGAACAATTTTCAGTGTCGACTCCTCATGCAGGAAAGCTAGACCTCTTGCAATGCCAAGACATATTTTATACCTCGTATTCCAGTTCAGTTTCTTTAGGCCTTCCTCTGGGCCTGAAATTAGCAGATAACTCAAAGAATATTCATGGAACTAATTATAACATGCGGAAGTATTGCACTTCGTCCAACTTACCAAACAAAACATGGGAAAGGCTATTGTTCTCCATATATTCGTATACCAAAAATAACTGATTTCCTTCGATGCAGCATCCATACAATTTCACAAGATTTGGGTGTTGTAAGGCAGAAATCATGCCTATTTCATTCACAAATTCACGATTTCCTTGCTTTGATTTTGAAGAAAGTTGCTTAACTGCAATAAATGTGCCATCTAATAGTTCGCCCTGCATTTTGAAATATAATACATTTGAGGAATATGAGTCAACCATAATACTCTCCAATTGTGATACACCATAGCATTCAAAACAAAAGAAAAGTTCTTACAAATATAGGGAAACAAAATGGAGTCGTGGAATACCTTGTAAACAGCTCCAAAGCCACCTTCCCCAAGCTTGTTTGCAGCATCGAAGTTGTTAGTTGCAGCTTTAAGTTGCTTGAATTTAAAGAAACCAGTTTGAAGATCAAATCCCATGAGATCTGTTCGTGTTGAAAGGTTAACATATTGAACTATTTAGAATCGAGAGGGCAAGTGAACAACAAGAGGTAGAATAAGAGTTGAATTTGCATTTTTAACATGTTTACAACAAGGGCCGGCATTAAACCCCTAGTAAATTTGAACATATTGATGAACTGTCAAATTCCATCAGATTCGTGCATGCATGATTCGATGATGAAATTATTTTGGTAGAAGAAGTTAGAAGTGGGATTAACTTTAAGTTAGAATTGTAAATGGAAACGTTAAAGGCTAAGGATTTGAGTGAAATAAATAAAAATTAGTAATCCTAGGAATAGGAATCAAGGTTCGGTAAATATAGATGATAAGAATAAGATTTTCGATCCTCTCAACTGTTCAACCCAGCGGCTGACCTTCGTTGATAAGTTAACTCTCTAATGATTCAGCATACTGATAGGTGCTACCAATGTAAAAGCCCCTTTGAAAATTCATACTGTAGCAAGTAGAAATACGAATAACTTTTCAACTTTTCTAAATAAAAAAAATGACCTATATGGTATTGTCTGTACCTTGTTCCCTGGTTGTCCTGCCTCCGAAACAGCCTTTCAACCAAAGAATGCCCAAAATTACGAAAACAAGGAATAACGCCGAAACAACTCCAATCACAATGAATTTCTTCCATTTGCTATCATCAGGTGGTTTGAAATCTAGAAAAAGAGCCAAGAACAATAATTGTGAGAGAACAATAAATTTCAACACGATTGTATAGAGAGAAACTTAAACATTGCTACTTACCAGACTGCACTGAGATAGCTGATATCAGAGAACCATATGTTCCTGATTTTGGAACATTTGTTGTCCCTTTCCCAGCCCACTGAAAGCGGATTTCTAAAGTCTTAACGTTAACTACTGCTTTAAATACCTTAATCACTTCCTTATCAACCCCTTGTGCTTCCTTTTCAATATCAAAATCCTCCAAAACCAGTTTATCCTGCAATAAATTATTTACTCAGTCAAGTAGAAAAATAAGAAAGACGAGCGGTTAAGAAAAATTGTTAAACAGTATGAGGAGATGTGGATCGCTGGTTAAGCTCTGTGAGTGAAAAGACAATGAAAAGAGTCAAAATTATCCAAACGGTTAAAACCAAAGGTGACAAAAATGTAAAATGTTTACTATTTTTCCAGAGCCAAAAAGCACTGCAAATGACTACCTGGATATAAACGTTAAAAATTCGTCTTCCAACACCATAATAAGACCTGTTGTCTCTGATAACTATTTCCGCAAAGTGCAGTTTCACAGTGTAATTTCCATTTGCTAAGCAACGAGCATAATATGTGAGAGAAAGAGGAGACAGTCGTGCAGTTTTATACAATTCAGAGTTGTTCATTCTGAGTATCGAAATATTATTTGCTATATAGTCTTTGTTGGAGCTCTAAACATCTGCAAAATCACCAGTACTACTAAATCCCAATTTGCTGAGTTCTGAAAAAACTTTGCTGCACCTCCTGAGGCGTCATCTGCCTCATACTTGATGTTTCCGACTGTGGTTTGATTTCCACCGCAATTTAGATGTAACGAGTACCGATCTATATAGAGAAAGAAGAAGAGAAAGAATTTAAAACAATGCTTTGTAACCCTTTCACTTCATATGAACACGAATTTACTCCTATGGATTTAATTCTAACAACAAATTTTAACTACCTTTTGAACATGGAAAGAGGCAATTGCTAAGTATCCTACAATATGAAAAATAAACATTAGCTTCTTAACTTAATAAAGAGAAATGAAAAGTCTTTGCATGAAGCTCATGAAGTTAGAAGCATACGAATTGTTCCGACTGGAAAAACTTCTGAACAAATTGCTGATGCAAAACACATTACAAAAAGTTAGATTCATCTATATAGGAAGTCAAAGAAAGTAACATAGGTTTATCTCAAGGACATTGACATAAAAAAATGGAAAAATTGTTATGCTTACAAGGTCTCTCGACAAGAATTTGGGACAGAGTTCTGAGGAAAAGTATTGTAAGAAAGATCTATATTGCTGCACACAAACATGAAGTTCTCTGTTAGCTCGAATTTTGGTAAAATCAATATCAGAAGATTTTCGTAAAACTTGTAAATAATATAATTACTTGTGGTAATTCAACAGTATGCATATCAACAGAGTAAAGAAAAAAATAAAGCGTTCATATGAAATTCAGGATGACGAAGCAGAAAAATTATGTAAAATTCTGGGATGAAGAAACATACTAGCGACTGTCTCTATTTTTAATCCACTCTGGAAGACCAGTTAGCAAGTTGCTTGTCAGATATCTGATCAGTGAGCAATATAAAACAGAAGTCAATGAACATATATTTATACGTATACTGGTTCAAAATACAAAGAAAGACAAGAAATTTAAAGTCTTTCTAAGGCCTTTCCCTTGGTACAGCTATGATTCCTAGCAAGAATTTGGTAGAATCCTAAATGAACTCATATCTCTATACTTTTTTTTTTCTTCTGGTAAACGACAAAACAAAACTGCACTCGTTCTCATTTGGTCAGAATGCGTTATCCAGAAGTAAGCTTCATGTTAACATCAAAATGACAATGTTAAAAGTTGGACCGTGACGCTTATACGAACCAAGGGAAATGCTTCCATGCATCATCATGTGTGTTAGCTACCCTTATGAGTTATATTCCTTACATTGTGGCCAATTCCATAATATCTGCAAAATTTGGAATACTCCCTTCCAATCTGTTGAAGCTAAGATCTCTGCAAATGAATATGTATACAAATAATCAGAAGTAAATTAAGCAAATCTTAAAAACATAAATGAATCAACCAGTACGTAGTCTGTTAGTGTGAAAAATAAATAGAACACTGTCTGCACACCAAATTCACAATCGGGTTTCGGACAAATTTAGAATGTGCTGCTTAACTGAAAGTTACATGTTTTAAAGCTTATTATGTGTAAGGTCAAGCAAACATTTTAAGTCCACAAATCTCAAAGTGTAAGGTCAAACTGCTCATAGTGTTACCAGTTTGTTATACAATATTAGTAATAATCTAGAGCTACAGTGTAAAACCAATTATTAAGACGACCATGTCATGAAAAAATGGAGAACAATAGATAGAAGACTTACAAATCAGTCAGACTTCTCATGGAAGAGATATATTCAGGCATTTCTCCTGTTATATTGCAGCTCCTTAACATCCTGCAATTTGAACAACCGATATTCGAAAATTAGTTTTCATCTGCATGCGTTATGCTAATAGAAATATATATAAAACCTAAAATATGGCTCACAATTTATTAATGCCCGTCATGCTTGATAAGTTTGGAAAAGCTGAACTCTCACCGCTTAAGTCACTAATCCTTCTGCAAAAGGTTACAGCATGATAACGTGTTGGAATACAAGTATCTTCATAAATCCATTTTTTTCTCTAAATTAGAAAGACGCAAGGAGATCATGCAAATTAAGATAACTGATAGCTTAGAAGGCAGGACTCACAGATCTGTCATATTATTCAAGGCAGAGAGACTAGATGGAAGGGGGCCTTCAAGACCACTCGCTTGCATCTCTCTGTAACAACATATTTGATGTATTTAGGATTACACATGAAAATATTTCAGTTGAGAATTTAAAAAGTGCAATAAAAGAGATCTTTTACAAGGCCTGGAGGTTTTTCCAACTTCGAAAGTAGTCAGGTATTCTTCCAGTGAAGTTATTACTGCCAATCTGACTGTAAATAATGCCACAAAAAGCTGAAAGATTAAATGACATAAACCACAAGTATTTCATGGAATGAACCTACATTATTTAAGGTAGTCATATCACTTACAGTACTCTTAATTTGGTCATTTTAGTGAGGGCTGAAGGCAGCTCACCAGTGAGATTGTTAGCACGAAGATAGCTGTAGTTACCCATGGAAAAACAAGACCAAACCGTTGTCAATTACCATATATACTTGCTTATGAAAATCCAATAAAATTAAAAAAATATAAACATATAAAGTTACAAAGGAAGATAAAATAGAAAACTAACAGAAGCTCCAGGTTAACCAAATTGCCCAATTCCGGGGGAAGAGTTCCAGAAAATAAGTTGCTCTCCAAGGCCCTGAAAGCAAAGCCTTGTCAAGTTCGTATTGGTGCACAAAACTAACAATTCTGAATGAGGTGATAGCAATGGAAGAAAGAATAGATGCATACAGAGAGTGCAGAGTAGTTATGCTTCCCAAATAACCAGGAATGGGTCCTGATAAGTTGTTCACACTGAGAACCCTGCATGTGCATGAAATTAGTTCAATAATTGGCATGCAAGTTTATTATCAACCTCAAACAAAAGTCTAGAATTCACTTACAGAAGTTCCAACTTCGTAGAATTCCATTCGCTCGGTATTGAACCACTAAGGTAATTCCTGGCCAAATTACTACGATCATAAAGAAACAGTGCTATTAGGTTTTCAGACAGAAGCTTAATAGATTTGTGGAAGAAGAAACTAAAACAAATGAGAGGAAATATCTTCATACACTTGCTTAAGGTAAGGTAGCTTCAACAGTGCTGGCGGAAGCACACCATCAAGGTCCTGTCCGGTAAGAAAACTGCAGAATAAGGATCCACAACTTATAGGTTATGAATGTTGTGCCAAAAATCGCAATCTCTTACAACTTGATATAGACAAAAAACCTTCATACACTTGCAATGGCAGCATTGGCCACTACCATCACAGGCAATTTAGAGCAGAAATTATAAACTACAGTTCGTAAAAAGTGCATACATGCTTTGGATGTGGCATACATTGCCAGAGAAAGAGCAGTTGCAGACGAGAGTGTTGTTGTACTCATCCGTACGCGGGATTGAAATAGTCGGAATATTGCTACAAGGATCACTGAAATTCCAATCCTTTTTATTCAATTGCACAGCTATTTCACGAAGTGCTTCCACTGCCACACCCAAATACCCAGAAGCACAATCTCAAAATCACTTTTCACAAAAGCAAGTAATGGGTAAGATAAAGTTTCATCCTTTCTAGTAAGTCTATTACAATTGGCCACAGAAAATAAAAAATTGAACTTCATAAAAAATTCATGCATAAGCTCTGTTCTTCTTCAATTTCCTGTCAAATTTTGTCTAAAAAGCTTATAAATTTAAGTTATTTCCACCATAAATACAATTTTCAACATTTTTCAGATGAACAATCCAACTAAAATTGCAATCACTTCACACACATAGAAAATCAAAACAAAGGCTTTCAAAGTAAGAGAGCCCTTTACCTTCATCGTCTGCAAGAGTGCCCACCTGTTCCTGGGATTTGATTGGCTCAATGCAGATAAGTACTGTAAGTAGAACAACATAGCAGAAGAACAACTTTGAAAGGTTTTGACTTGCTGCCATTTTCTTCACATAATCACATTCCATGGAGCTCCGTTGTTTCTGTCTGCAGGCTCTTATCTATCCTGATGGAATAATAGTAACATTTTGGTGCAATTAATTATCCCCACTATGAATTTTTTTTATTTTCAGGGTCAACATCATTTGCCTAAAGTAGACCCACGGTTTTTTTTTTTTTTTTTAAATTATTGAAAATGACATACACATATTTTTTCTAATTTCCCACGCACTTCTGTTTTATTTTGACAATTACTTCTATTTTATTTATTAAATTTGATGATAAAAAAACGTGGGAAAAGTTTTGGCAAATGCGCTCATAGTGATTATGGTAGATATCTCATATACGAAAGCTAATAATTTACCTTGTCAATTCTCAAAAAAAGTTGAAAATCAATTATTTTTTTTCACCTTGATGTGTCCTCAAATTAAGATCACATTTTTAGAGAAAGAATATATTATTAGATGAAGTGGAAATAAAGTGATGAATTAAATTTATTATCTTTTATGTCTTTTGTGGAGACGTAAGTTGAGTTGGTTCTTTGCGCATTTGACTAATCTTTATCCTGTTGTTTGTGAGCTAATTGACAACTAGAACGTGGATTGGCTCAACTTTGAATAACATTATATCAAGCCTCACGTACTACATAGTTTCGTTTTAATCTTATATGTATTGTTCACGTGTTATAATTAATAAAAAATTAGTGAAATTATCAATTTATGTTTAAATTTAACAAATTTCATCATATGAGCTTTCTTCTTCTTTTTTTTGTACGGAAAAGGATCTTTGACTGATTTTTTTCTTGGAGATTCTAAGGATTTCATAATCGTGATCGTTCATTGTACATCGTGCGGTCAGATATTATTTAAAATTTAAAATTAAATATAAATAATACTTAACAAAAATTAATCGTACGATATACGATGAACGATTACAATCGTAAAATTCTTAAGAAAAGATCATGCGATGATCCTTTTCCTTTTTGTACTTTCTGGAGAGAGAGAAGAGATGCACACGGCTGACGGATCACATGCCACGATGGGCTCCCACATGCTTTTCAATTGGATAATATAATAATGTAGGCAAAGAAGTTGGTTTTATGATTATGATGCGCCCATGGTTTTACCAATATGGGGAATGTTCTGCCTATATCGATTCGTAAGGGAAATGCTTTTGTACGAAGATATTTGCTAATAAGCGTTTATGGTATAGATTTTTTTGTTATATTCTTAAAAATACACAAATTTTATATAAAAATTTACGTACATGAAAAATCACTTAAAAACGCATTAAAAAATATCAACTAAAATGTGTTTCTCTATAAAGCGGTTACATGACTTGAAAACATTTATATTTTACTAAGTGTCATTGGAGCATTTAGCAAAAAGATCTTTTGACAAACACGCATAAAAAAATAATTTAAAAATATCTAATATAAAATAGAACTAATAATGGTTCAACATATAGTAGGTCGTTTTTTTTTTGTTCGTTGAAATATTGGTAAATTGAATTGCTATCCAACTATAGTGAAGTTTTTGTCTTACTGATCTCAGGGCTTGAAGCGTGTTTGCCAACAAATATCACTAAACAGATAATAGCCACATCGTCCAAAACTAGCTTAACATTGAGGGCTATTATCTAATAAACTAGTTACGATAAGGCATGTTTAATGATTTATTTAGTATTTTTTTGGCGCACAAAACCGACAAGACAAGCTAACGTACTGCATGGGATCATTTACGTATTTTGCCAAATGGTGGGACAAAGTTTAGGGTATGTCATGACATGTCATCGCATGTCAACATATCAAGGCATTAACAAAATGTATGTCAGGACTCAGGACATATTGATCCCCAGCAAAATATCGGCATAATGCAAATATCATAACATACTCATAGCATGTCGGACATTATATATAGCTCCTGAATAGCAATCTATCTGTTATTATGGCATTCAGTCTCATTAGCCTTTATGCATGCATTCATGCATGTGCATAAGATATTTTTTGAATTATAGTATGCTATGTACGATTTTTATATTTTTTAAATATATTTATATGCGTGAATTGATAAAAAGAAAGTCAAATATTTGAAGTAAATGAATAATCTTAGATCATACTAGAAAAAACCTGTCACAAATCAATCAAAGCAGCTGAATTCACATTATAAAATCGGTCTTTCAATTTGCATCTACACACTATTGAATTTACATTAAGAATGGAGAAAATAATATTTAATAAACAACTAATTGAATCACATTATTGTTAGCCCATTGTGAGGCCAAGCCCACCTCCTAGATAATATCGTTTATTAAAAATAATAATAATCATTTGACAACTAATTTAATTACATTATTATGCGTGTGTGAAAGACTTTTTTTATAACTGATATTACAAACCTCTTAAAATATTTTGAACGTGTTTAAAAATAGAAAAAACAATATTTGATGAACAACTAATTTAATCATATTATTGCTAGCCTATTGCGATGTATCAATTTAAAAAATGTACATAAAGAATTATTATTAAAAAACATTGTTAAAATAATGAAAATACCTCTGCATTATTTAGTGCATTGTTTTGGACTGTTTTTAATTTTTTTTTTTGTTTTTAAAGCATTTTTGTTTAAATTTTTTTTATAAAACTTGTGATCTCAAAAAAAGATTGTTGGATTTATATATAAAGATACGTACAATATTATTGAGGTGTTTTATTCTTTTCGTTGGTGAAAATTGTTTTGGTGTTTTACTTCCTTTCCTCCCAATATTGACCATTTCTTTGGTTTACTTTTTGCATTTAACTTTTACGTGTCGTGTCGGCAACTAGATTAACCTTCTTTGACTGGAAAGTTCAAACCATGGAGAAAACCTTGTCTTTTGAAAAGTCATCAAAAGGAAATGTATAAAACAATATTGCGTCTATATTCAGTTCATGCATATGCATAGCAACTAATTACGAGGCGTTTGGTTACAGACAAATGTGTTTGGGACGAGCAGTGGCGGATCCGAAATTAACATTGGGAATTCCAAGGTTAAAGTAAGTTTTAAATAGAAACTGGGCGAAGCACGGAAAAGTATTTCAATTTATTAACCGAGTTATTTCGTCGAATATTTAGTAGGTTTGTTATCGTCAATCAAACTATATTGTAACAGATGTCGGTATATGTCGAAAAAATTCGATGAATGCTATAAAAAGAATTTATCGAGTACTTTCAACGTAACTTGTCGAATGTTGCCGAGATATGTTTTAGGTATTGCATCAACCACTTGGTGAAGATTACGTTCAAGTATTCCCTGTCCAATCTTCATTGGTTCCATGGCTTTCATCTCTTATGATTTTTTTTTTCTTTTCAACATCTTTTTTGTGGGTTGGTTTGAAAGAAGGATTTCATCTGATTATTTCCTATGCCTACTAGTTTTTATGAGAATTAGGAATGTGATTGTATAAATATTGGGATTTTGTAGTATATTTTGAATAGTTTCGTGATTGTAATTAATGTAATACCTAAAGGGTAATTATTTTACCTTCCTACTCTTAACAATTGGTGAGAAAACACCTCACAATTCACCCAATTCTCTCTACACCTTGCCACCGCATCTCTCTTTATGTAATTCTTCAGTTACAAAAATTAAGCTATTAAAAACCATCATGTATTTGATGTTACCCTCTTTTTATTGTACAAGCTTGTATAGCCGTGTAGTCTCGTGAAGTTGTGCTTTCATTTTGGTATGAGCACCTGCCTTCAACGGCGGAGCACCGGGCCACACTCTTCTTAATTTACCGTTGACAATCACGATCAACTGCATACATATCCTAGGCAGACGATGAGGTAGAGGCGGTCCATTTTGTATCGGATGAATAAAGTAAGCTTTGCGTGCTCTCTTCAGTAGTAGTATCAGGGTCCTCTGTGAAGTCCCTAAACCTCATCTCGTCACCATAAATACTCGGGTTTATCTTCACCTCGTGAACAAGAGTTTGGCCTTCAAGCATGCTCACTACTGCGGACATTGTAGGTCTTAGTGCCGGTGATGGATTGGCGCATAGTAGAGCTACCTTTATCATTCTCATTGCCTCTTCCTTATTGAACTCAGACCCCAACTTTCGATCCACCAGCTCCATCAGATTTCCTTTTTGTTGCAAAACAAGGGCCTGCGGCATTGAGCAGAAATGCAGAAGGAATGTTGAGAAGTTTAAAACATTTCAAGAAGAAAATGAAAAGCTATGTTTCTTAATTCTTCGGTTCTATTTTATAAATCAGGTGGAGCCAAACAATTTGCAGATATTGGAAAACAGTCCTACGAAAAGCACCCTGGCTTCCTATATACTTTTTCCCATACAAAACGAATGAAACAAAGATCTTACCCAATCAAGAAGGCATACAAAATTCTCATTTGGACGATATTTGATGTTGTTTTTTCCAGATAAGAGTTCCAATGCAACGACCCCAAAACTGTAAACATCTGCTTTGTCACTTAAATAACCCCATAACGCATATTCTGGTGCCATATATCCTCTACACATTAAAACTTTTTGTTAGCATCCATAAAGATGTCATCTAAAGAATTTTTTGTACATTGATTATATTAAGTTCAATGATGTTTTGAAATGAAATTTTGCAATTAATACATCTACTAACAAAGTTTTTTTTTTTTTTGGTCATTAAAACGAAGATTGAGTTTTACCCAAAAAAAAGAAGAAAAGAAGATTGAGTTAAAAAGTCTTCATGTTATCTAAACTAAGAGAATAAAACGAGCAAAATAGAAACCACAATGAAAGAAAGAACAAAATGAAGGATTGCTCACATAGTTCCAGCGACTCTGGTGCTAATATGGGTGTTCTCCTCTTCGTTCAGCTTAGCCAAACCAAAGTCAGATATCTTAGGGTTAAGGTCCCGATCAAGCAGTATATTGGTTGTTTTGATGTCTCTATGAACAATTTTCAGGGTCGACTCCTCATGCAGGAAAGCCAGACCTCTTGCAATGCCAAGACATATTTTATGCCTCGTATTCCAGTCCAATTTCTTTAGGCCTTCCTCTGGGTCTGAAATTAATTGACACGCCCCGACCCTGATATTCCCCGAATACCAGGATAGACACGTGTTGGCCGACACCCGAGGGTGACGAAAGCCATTAATTGATACAAAAGCTAAGAATAAGAAATAAATACGGGTTATGAATTTAAAAACAATGAATTAACAATTTAGGAACGTGTTCAGAGCATACAACTAAACCTAGTCACTAACAAGAATTAAGATAAGATTGAATGAACAAAGGAGTGGGTCCTACCCCGTGAGGACTCGAAGATGCCACTGCGGAAGTGCCTTGATGCCGGGATTGTATGCCTTGATTCAAATTCCTGAATGGGGGCGCAAAACAAGGGTGAGTGGACCAAGTTTATATATATACATAATACGAAAACAGTTATGAACATACTAACCCCCACAGTTAATAATGAAAACTACTAGAATAATAAGTGATACGCTTTTCAGAAAACTCTAGCATGCCATAAAACAATTCGTATATCTTTCTGCAAATCAATCTCAGAAAATCATATCAGAAATTGTATCAGGAAGCATAACACAAGTTGTGCTGCTAGTGAGTGCACTGAATAATAATACTCCCGGCCCAATGCCTGCACCTCAGTCTCTGTGCCCGTAGCAAGAGATATCTCCCTCCCGGCCCAATGCCTGTCTCCGTGTCCCTCAGCCTTTCGCTAGGGATTATTTCTCCCGGCCTCAATGCCAACACCAGATCCTCGCCTCAGGCGGCATAGTGTTCACTAGGTACACACAAAACATAATTCATCTCTAAAATACAACTTCGTAGCATAAATTCATCGATCCTCTATACTACGAAGAGGTGTTCGAATGTCATTTGAAACACATTCTTAGCATCCTATCGTCATCGATCAGATAGTCTACCAGAATGAAGGTGTAGACATCGAAATTTCGTAAATAAATGTTGACCGATAAATCAAAGTGTCAACGCTTATGTGTTACATAAATTTCACACGTAGCGTGTGACTCAACGAAAATTGAAATGAGTTGGAAAAGTCATCAAATAGGACACGTGTCAACACCTGGCAGAAACGACTTATTTCATCTGGGATATTATATTCAAAATTAGGCATTGGAAAATTCTATAAATACAAGCCCATTTCATTCATTTAAGAAGGAATTCATATTACACCTTGAAGCTCTGAAGCTCTGAAACTCCGAAGCTCTCAAGCATCCAGGTTCCCGAAGAATCAAGAAAGGGTTCTTCGTTCTTCGTTCATCGTTCTTCCAAGATCAAGCCCCAACGGCCCTTTGGATCAATAATCATCCACCTTCAAGATCAAGCCCCGACGACCCTTGAAGAAAGCCTTCTTTGTTCTTCGTTCATCGTTCTTCCAAGATCAAGCCCCAACGGCCCTTTGGATCAACAATCATCCACCAATTCAAGATCAAGCCCCGACGGCCCTTGAAGAAAGCACCATCGTTCATTATCCGTTCATCCAAGATCAAGCCCCAACGGCCCTTTGGATCAACAATCATCCACCTTCAAGATCAAGCCCCGACGGCCCTTGAAGAAAGTGTTCTTCGTTCATCGTTCTTCCAAGATCAAGCCCCAACGGCCCTTTGGATCAACAAACGTCGACAAATCCACACATCCAACCGTTCTTCAAGATTAAGCCCAAAAGCACTTGAAGATCTGTTCATCATTGTTTCTTCAAGATCAAGCCCAAAAGCCCTTGAAGATCCACTCAAATCCACCTTCAAGATCAAGTCCACGGCCCTTGAAGAACGTTCATCCTTAGATCAAGCCCAACGGCCCTTTGGATCAACGAAATATCCACAAATCAACACCTTACGGAGATCGAATCAGAGGATCAAATTTGAGAGAGATTGTAACCCAAAATCATCAAATACAAAATATTTGTTTGTGCACGTCGTTCTTGTCTCTTTCGTTTCAGGAATTTTCCGTGTTCACAAATTGGCACGCTCGGTGGGACAATCTCTGCCTCTCATCTCTTTCTCAGTTCAAGAAATTCAAGGGCACTTCCAAAATTAATGGCATCAAGGAAGGCTCAAACTGTTCCCGCAACCGGCGCAAAGAACAAAAGCGTCCTCGTCGCAACTGGTGTCACTTTGGGCATCACGACTCGAAGCATGGCAAGAGCTACTTCTGCCGCCTCTTTCACCTCTGCATCAACTCTGCCAAGGGAACAAAAACACCCAAGGCACGAGCCTTTGATCACCTTAGCCTCACTAAGGGCACCAAGGGGGGAAAGCCCAAGGAAATACTCCGAATCCATGCTCTCCGATGCCGATTCAAGCGACAGTTCAGCCATGCAAGTCATGACCATTGGAGCAACTTCAATCGATGAGCAGCTGGCTCAAATGAATGAAGCAATCGCAAGGCTAACCCGAACTGTGGAAGAAAAAGACTTGCAAATTGCAGCACTAGTCAACCGATTGGAGGCACAAGACGGCGATAAACCCGACCCAGAGGATGATCCACTAAAGGGAGGAGCTGGCGGAGACGAAGAACCCCCGGTGAAGAAAATCGATGGGAAGCCGGAGCCAGACCAAGCAGCGGCACTCATGGGATCTCTTTCTATCCAGCAGCTGCAGGAGATGATCACCAACACCATCAAGGCACAGTACGAAGGGAGCTCACATACCTCCTTGTTCTACTCGAAGCCCTATTCCAAGAGGATTGATGCCCTAAAGATGCCAAGGGGTTATCAACCACCAAAGTTCATGCAATTTGATGGAAAGGGAAACCCGAAACAGCACGTTGCCCACTTCATTGAAACTTGCAACAACGCAGGAACCGAAGGGGACTACCTCGCCAAGCAGTTTGTGCGCTCGCTGAAAGGAAATGCCTTTGAGTGGTACACGGACCTAGAGCCTGAGTCCATCAACAGCTGGGAGCAATTAGAGCGGGAATTCCTCAACCGCTTCTACAGCACCCGCCGCACTGTGAGCATGCTAGAGCTAACGAGCACAAAGCAGTGGAAGGACGAGCCAGTCATTGACTACATCAACAGATGGCGCACTCTGAGCCTCGACTGTAAAGATAGGCTCTCGGAAACCTCTTCAATCGAGATGTGCATCCAAGGCATGCAATGGGGTTTGCAATACATCCTTCAAGGCATCAAACCACGGACATTCGAAGAGCTAGCCACCCGCGCCCATGACATGGAGTTGAGCATCGCCCATCATGGGAAGAAAGAACCGATCGCCGACTACAAGAACGACAAAGTTCTTGGGACAAAGGGGGAAAAGGCTGCATGGAAACCCACCAAGGAAGCGATGACGGTCAACACAGCTCCCGTCAAAATATCCACACGAGGCAAGGCGATTCAAACCGAAGCTTTTCGTGATCAAGAGATGCGTAGACGCACTTTGAAGGAGCTTGAGGAGAAGACTTATCCATTCCCCGACTCTGATGTGGTTGCCATGCTAGATGACCTGTTAGACAAGAAGGTGATCAGTTTGCCTGAGTGCAGACGGCCGGAAGAGATGAATCGTACCGACAGTCCAAGATACTGTCAATTCCACCGCTTCATCAGTCATCCGACAGAAAAATGTTTCGTGCTGAAAGATCTCATCATGAAGTTGGCTCAGAAAGGAATCATCGAGCTAGATCTTGACGAAGTGGCGAAGTCAAACTATACCACCTTCACTTCTGGGCTCTTCCGACTCAAAGTTTTCACCTCAACCGCTGGGGGCATCGTCCAAGACAAGCAAAATTGAAGGATGGACTCAAGTCACTCCTAAGAAATTGCACAAGAAGCATACGTCTCCTCCACAAGTCCGCCAATCGGAAAGGGGGCAAAACAGCTCTTGTCAACCTTCAAAGCAACATGAACGTGTTGAAGATGATGAAATTGCGACACAAAGATCGTCCGTTGCCATCACGATGGGCGACTTCTTGCCCGAAGACTTCTTCAATCACGCAGTCAAAGCTCCTTGCTATGAAAATTGTGAGGAACGCCTCTCCCGGATTGCTTGACAAAATCAACAAATTCTCCTCGCCCGCATGAGTCTAAACTGCATGGCACAACGCTCCTGGTCTGCACGAGCATAAAAGGCGACACCAACGCTCCTTGCCTGCACGAGCTGAAACTGCAACACGGCACCAAATGCTCCTTGTTCGCACGAGCCTAAACTGCATGGCACAACGCTCCTTGCCTGCACGAGCTGAAACTGCAACACGGCACCAAATGCTCCTTGTCTGCATGAGTTGAAACTGCGAACGACACCAACGCTCCTTGCCTGCACGAGCTGAAACTGCAACACGGCACCAAATGCTCCTTGTTCGCACGAGCCTAAACTGCACGAACCAAAGCTCCTCGCCTGCAAGAGCCTAAACTGCAAGACACAAAGCTCCTCGCCTGCACGAGCCAAAACTGCGTGGCATCAATGCTCCTGGTCTGCACGAGCATAAAAGGCAACACCAACGCTCCTTGCCTGCACGAGCTGAAACTGCAACACGGCACCAAATGCTCCTTGCCTGCACGAGCTGAAACTGCAACACGGCACCAAATGCTCCTTGTCTGCACAAGCTGAAACTGCAAACGACACCAACACTCCTTGCCTGCATGAGTTAAAACTGCAAACGGCACAAAAAAAAACCAAAAAACATGTATGTATTTGAACTACGTTACGACTTGATCTCTTCTTTGGAGGGGTACGTAGGCAGCTTGAATATTCAAAATTTCGAGTTCAGTCACATCAAAATATAAATAAATGTTTTATTAAAGAAAATGATGAATACATATGTTTATGTATTTACAAAAAAAAAAAAAAAAAAAAAAAAAAAAAAAAAGAGACATATGTTATTAATGTATTATTATATATATATATATATATATATATAATGGTGGGCTAGATTGTTGAGAATGAAGCCAAAACCGTGAACCCAATCCACTCAACTTGCAGCTTGCCTCAGGCCTGTCCCTTCAAAACATGGGTCACAGCCCATTCTTCTAGCCCAAGCTCTCCTTTAAATCCACCGGGCTCTCCGCCCCAATTCCTTTGGTTCCTCCGA